CCAGACCTGTGCACCCCAAGTGCTGGGATTACAGGCATGCACCACCATACCTGTGCACCCCAAGTGCTGGGATTACAGGCAAGCACCACCATACCTATGCACCCCCTAAGTGCTGGACTCACAGTCATGCACCACCATACCTGTGCACCCCCTAAGTGCTGGGATGACAGGCATGCACCACCATATCTGTTTTGTGTTGTATGTGCTAGGCGAACACTCTATCAATAAAGCTACTTTGTCAGCAAGACATTCACATTTAAAGAGGAATGAGAAAGGCATAACCAGACAGATGGAGTAAGGAAGCTTGCTTGAAGGTCAGTTGGTAAGCTAATTTGAGTTTGTGGTGGGAGCACTTTGTGAGCCTATCTAGGGGTAGGAAAAGGGAAGGGAGTTATTCTTAGTACTTCCTCCTCTGGAGACGTAAAAACAACAACACAATCTCAGTCACTTTGTCCCCTTTAGCAGTACAGTGAGACCAATTCACACCATGCATGGCCCAAACCATGGCACATTTTTAGTACCCAAAGACCTTTCTGATTAAGCAAGTTGCTGGGTTTAGCAATTTCCTGTCCTCCCCAGCGATATGCTAAAGATAGTGTCAGAGAACCCAGCACATGTGATATGGTCTTTAAACCTGTGGCTCCTCTGAGTCATTGTGTACAGAGAGCTGTCCTATGGGAGGCCAGGTTTTATGTTTACAGTCCTGTAAGTCTCAACAGCACAAGGAAAACTTATTTACTAAGGTGTTGGTTAAGAGATGTTTCAGGGTTCAGATGAGAAGCAGAACCTCAGCATCCAGTAAGCCTGGGACATTTCTGATTAGAATAGGGAATCAGATGCATTGCATCACATGGTTCAGTGGGAATGCGTTATAAAGCCGTGTCTGCCCTGAACTCACAGTGCAGGTTCAAATCTGGTCCCCGATGCTCCAGTGGTGGGCTCTTTGACAACAGCATGTGTTATGTAGCTCCATAGGATCACAATTTTTTCTATTGTGAAACTTTATCTAGTTTTAGATTTATTGAATAAGCACTAAGATGACAAAATAACATAAATGGTAAGTTTAATCAACACTCTCATGACATCCACTTGGTTTTGGACACCACGGAAAGCATCCCCTTGACACAGAGAAGGCAGTTAGAGGCACCCGGTGTTGCAGTTAACACGAGCTGGGACTCCACCCCGAGAGCTTTTGGATTGCCATCTCTTTAAGAGGTTAGTCTTGGATTCTGCTCCCTAACAAGCCATCTTCCCATTTTTTTTTCCTCATTTTGTTCTTGTTCTTGGGCATACAGAGCATGTTAAAACTGCAAGCATCATGCAGCCGACACATCGGTTCACTCCTGCATTCTTTGAAGAGGGAGACAAAATGGATGGTGGTCATGTTGCTGGTGAAAGGTTGTGTTTACTGCTGGGCCGGGGTCCTCTAGCTTTAAGGAGTAATTATCCTGTCTGTCTGTCTGCACACACACACACACACACACACACACACACACACACACACACACACACAC